TTGAGGACATCCCTGGTGCTGAAGTTGGGCTGTTGTGTGGGTGCTGGAGCAGAGTGAAGGGATGCACAGGAAAGCTGTCTCGGTGGAGTGGACCCTGCTTTGTTGTTTGGTGCTGTCGAGTTGACTGTTTATAGTGAACCTCTGAGAGCAGAAGGAATGTCACTCTTCTCTTCACCATTCTCACACTTTTCCATACTGAGGTGGCTCGTGTGTAGCTGGGATGCTGGAAGGCCGGCCACCTGTATTTCAGGTATCAGCAGGGTCACCCCAGGTTCATAGGTGTCACAGAGCTTCTAAACTGGTTGTGCACCCTGGAGTTGGAACCGACCCACAGCTGACCCTCCTTTGTCCAGCGGGTTTTCAGAGGCCGTTAATTGCATGGCATGAGATTGCCTATCCTTTTCCCACAGAGCAGCAGATGGATTTGAACCGTGTGCCTTCAAGTATGGCATCACATGTTCTTGCCGCCAGGCCACCAGAGCTCCCGGAAAACAAGACTGGCCATCCGCTTCTGAAATACCAGGGCCTCAAGAACTCTGTGAACAGATGATGGAGTGAATGGACCCTCCTTATTGCAAATGCCCAGTGGAAGTTGGATCTCAGGATGTTATGTGAGATCCTGCATTGAGTGGATGGTTTAGTTCAGTGATGTTTAACATCCCTTCACTCTGAGACCTCAGAACTATATGGGGTGCTTATCAATATCTGCTGAAAATCTCCGCATCCCTGTTTTCCCAAAGACCCTGGAAAAGAGTATCATTTCTACTACCAACTCCAAGTAGGCTTTTAATTGAAAAACAACAGCAGCAAACCCATGGTCATCAAGTCAATTCCAGCTCACAGCAACCCCGTGGCTTGGAGTGGAGTGTAGCCTGTAGATTTGCCCAGGCTGTAATCTGTGTGGAAGCAGACAGCCTCACGTTTCTCCCGAGGAGCGACTGATGGGTTCGAACCACCAGCCTTTTGGTTAGCAGCTGAGCTCTTTAACCACCTCTTTAACCACTGTTTTTAAACAAGAAAGCTGTGAGGTTAGGAGGCCATCAGGAAATGAGTCTCTGAGAAACCAGTATCAGAGACAGCGACCCCAGAGCTCCGCCTTCACAGTGGCGTCCTTCTGGGGTCAGCCATGGTGGGCAGCACGGATTGACGTGGCTCCGTGATTGACTCACAGTCCAGCAGTCACATGAGTGAGGCCTCCATCCTCCAGGTAGATGGACCCTCAGTGAGGGGCATCGACACAGCAGCCCCGACCACGGGCCCCACAGCATAGCGGCAGCAGAGAGGATGGAGTGAGACCGGGTGGGGCTTGGTTCCAGGGCCGTACGTAATGTCACTGTGAAGCACTGACCGCTCACCAGCACTTGACACCAACAAAGGCCGGTCGGCAACTGTCGGTGCCTCAGTTCAGAGGCAGAGTCCTTCCTTCCTCTCAGGAGCACAAAGCATGGCCGGGTCCTGTGTCACCCTCGCAGGTGCTGGCATGTTCTAGTCTGTCAGCTGCTGTGCTCTTCATCTCAAAGGGGGTCTCCCAAGCCCTCGCCGGACCTCTGCTTCTCCAGACATCCTGCCCTGCTACAGTGATTGATCCTCTCTGATGATGTAAAAGCCAGCAAGTCAGCAGTGGTCCCTCATGTAAGGTTTTCCCTCCTTGATGTTCAGAAACTGACACTGACTTCTCTTGCTGGTCTGTCTTGTCCTGGAAGCAGAGCTGAAACCTGCCCAGTGGGGCTGACCCTGCTGGGAGTTGAGATCCTGGTAGCATAGCTTCTGGCATCTGAGCACGGACAGGGCACCACAGGGTGACCGACTGATGGGCTGACCCTCTGTCCAGCGGAATATTACGGATTCAGCCAACTTTTCAAAGTAGAACCCTGTCCTAGAATAACCCCCGACACTCATGTTTTGATAGGAAGTTAGAGGAACAGTGTCAGTTGAGTTGAAAAAAATCAGATTGCCGTTTATATTAACATTTAATTAGCGACTATAACAAATTCTCTCTCTCCATGTCATTGACCCTCCAACAATGTTTGTAGTGCCAACTTCTATGCAGTTGACCTTGTACTTACACATTTCTGTTGAGTCAGAATCCGCTCACAGCTGACAGTCAAGTGAGTTTTCAGAAGCTACATAAATTGTACAACAAGGTGCCCGTCTTTCTCCCAAGGATCCGCTGGTGAATTTAGAACTCTAGAGAGGGGTGGGTCCTCCCTCCAGACTGTAGAGCCAGAGCTCCCTACACAGGTGACAATCACAGGTCATTTATAGTGGGTTCTGGGACAACATGGCTTTGAACCACACAGATCTATTTAGATGCAGATTCTTCCCTTCATTCTCCCACCCCCACCCCACCTCCATTGCTGTTGCAATGAGCTCCGCTGTCCGATTCAGATGCTGGGTCTGTGTGGACGAGTCTTCTCTGCAGTAAATGATTCTCAGGAGACAGACTCCTCACAGGTGGATAATTAGCATCACGTGACATTTTAAACTGACACAACGCTAGAGCCCATCACAATAGCAACTGGAAAAACAACAGAAGTCCACCTGTAAGTGGTCTGTGCATACACAGTCGCGTTGTTCAAGGGTCATGTACGTAGGTGGTGGTGGTGGTTAAATGCTGTCAAGTTGGCCTCACCTCATAGCAAGCCGGCTGATATGGCTTTGTATTCAGTCTCTGTTGTGTTTGGGTCCGTCTCACCGAGGGCCTTTCTCTCCTTGGCTGACACTCTGCTTTCACTGAGCATGATGTCCTCCAGGGACCAGCCTCTCCTGATAACATGTGCGTGGTCTGCCACACGAACCTCACCCTTCTTGCCTCCAAGGAACGCCGTGCCTACCTCTTCTGAGACATGCTGGTTTGTTCTTTTGGCAGTCCGTGGATATTCAGTATTCTCTGTCACCATCACGGTTTAAAGACAAGTGGGTGGTTTTTTGTTGTTGTTTCATTGTTCTTATTTTATACTGGTTTATTTTGAAAGCTTGAATACATTGGTTTTTCACACTGGATCTTTCCCATCTCCTTCACCACCCCCACCCATCAAATTGTGTGACCCTATGATTCACCTGCCTCCCCCCCACCCCATCATTGTCCAACTTTCACAATCACATGACCCGATTAATAGTACTATGACTTGGGTCATGTGTACCTTAGTCTTTAAAGTGACGTCTTTTATTTTTCATGAATGATTTTTTTAATGCAACATATATTTTTTACAGAATATTCTATTTAAATTTTCCCCCATTCATTCATTGTTGCACATTTTCCTCCCTGCCCACCCCCCTCCAGTTTGTTTTTCTCTTTGAAGAAAAAAATTTATTTTATTCTTAAACAATTCCTCCAAACCAATTTACAGTCCACTTTAATATGCATTTCTTTTTATGTAATCTTGTAATGAAAATAGTAGTATACAAAATGGGTGACCCTGGAGGACATTATGTTGAGTGAAATATCTCGGTCATAAAAGGACAAATACTGCATAATTATTTATTTTGCCTTGATGTGAATGTGTCCAGCGATGTGGAGATGGGACCTCCCACACTCATGCCCCACTGTTCACGGGCAATGCTGTGCAAAGATGCTTTTTCTAGGTGGGGCACACCTCCTCTGTCTCCATTATCATTCAAGTTGGACTAATTAACATGCAGGCAGGTCTCACTTCACCTGTTCTTCACTGTGTTGTGCTCCACAGATACCTTTTTCCCTCCTTCAAATTGAGGGTCTGCAGCAACCCTGCATCGAGCAGGTCTGTAGACGCTACTCTCCCGACAACACACGCTCACTTGATGTCTCTGTGTCCTATTTCCATCATTCTCGTGCTCTTCCACACTTTCTCATCACACATTGCACACTTAATCATTTAGAGTGCATTATCAACAAAGCTTACACATCCCTCAAAAAGCTCTCCGTGCTGTCGAGGTGGACTGGTTCACAGCTGACCCTCCATTTGGTTGTACAAGCCTGTAACTTGCACACAAGAGATGACCCATCTTTCTCCCAGGGAGTCATTGCTGGATTCTGATTGCCAGAGAGGCCATTAAGGGTTAGCATTGCAGCCGCCTATGGACTTTGCCATCAGAGCTCCCTGGTTAAATGGGAAACTCAGGAGTGCACGTGGCTTTGTTTATCACCACCTTCACTTGACTGTGGGGGTCTGGAACGAAACTGTCACTGTCTCCGAGGTCTGCCTGTGTTCACCTTCCTCAGCCCCAGGAAGCCTCTTTACCTCCCAGCACCTCCGCTGTGTCTGGAGCACCCTCAGCCGCGGGCCCTTTTCTCCAATCCTGTTTCTCTCTGGCTTTGGGAAGAGTTGTTGGTGCAGGGAAGTGTGTCCCGTTTGTAACTGGGACGTGAGCTGCGGGAACATAACTTGTACGTATCCTGTTGTTGTGTAAGTTCAAATCAGAACTCACCTGTAGCTGGCCCTCCTGGGGGTTTTCAGAGGCTGTGAATCACATGAGAGATTACCCATCCTTCTCACGCAGAGCAGCGGGTAGATTCGAACCACTTGCTTCTGAGTTTGCAGTGCAGCTTCTTACCACAAGGCCTCCAGAGGAGCTCCCTGTGTGTACCCTAAGAAACTGAAAATCCATGTGGCTTTCTTGATACTCACTCTGTTGCATGATTGGGAAGTGAACCAGCAGTGTAATCATTTGTTAGTCCCTAGGATGCCCCTGTAGGTGAAGGGCCAAACCATGACTCTTCTGAGTGGAAGGAGATAGTAACTGGGTATGTTATAGAACAGTGAGCATAGATGGGGACTATTGGACAAACAGCGTAGTGTCGATAGTCCTTTAGAAAACTTGGCACAACAGGAGAGTATGTTGGCCCTGTCCTTGCAGCCTGGTGGCTCCATGTCTGAGAGGGTGTGAGCTCTCCGCCGAGGCTGAAGGCTGCATCTCAGTCCCTGGAGAAGCGCATTTCTGTCCCAGTGGGATCCCTAGCGTCAAGTGTGTCCCCTCCAGCCTCAGCTGTTAGCTAAAGGGATTCTTGTCTTTCTTCTCAGGGACTTTGTGAAGGCCTTCATCCAGTTTAAGAAGCCCATTGTGGTGGCCATCAATGGGCCCGCGCTGGGCCTAGGAGCTTCCATCCTGCCTCTCTGCGACATTGTGTGGGCCAGCGAGAAGGCCTGGTTCCAGACCCCCTATGCCACCATCCGCCTCACGCCCGCCGGCTGCTCCTCATACACCTTCCCCCAGATCTTGGGTGTCGCACTGGTAAGCCCCCTTGTTCTCTGGTGGCTGGCTTCACTCTGTGGGTGGGCTTGGGTCTGAGATGGAAGTGGGTGGATTTGGAAGGCCTGACCTCCATATCATTGGAGGCATTCACACCAAACCTAGATGAAGAGGAGTTCAAGCTTCAGATGGTGAGTGCAGGTTGGGATGTTGACATGTAGGGTTTCTTTCGATCCTGGTGGGCTCTCGTTCTCAGTTACTTAAAGGAACTCATTCCCGGCGCTCTGGAAGGCTGACTGGGGTCCATGTCCTAGGTCCTGTTGTTTGAGTTCAGGCCATGGCTGGGCATGTGGATTCAAACGTAGCTTCCTTTCAGCCTGGGAGCCTGCTGCTCTTAGCTCCCTCAGCCTCCTCCTCCTCTGAGCTCATGGAGACATGGGTCATCTCCGAGGCCCAGGCTGTCCATGTCAGATGAAAGTAGCAAAGCCAGGAATGGACGTGGTGATGACCAGGTCTAAGAAGGCGACAGAATCCATTTAGTGAAGCATCCCAAGCACTTATTACTGCAAATATATTACTCCAGCGGCCCAGTAAGGTAGCATGTGTCAGTGTAGTTGGGAGCCCTGGTAACATAGCTGGTTATGCATTAAGCTGCTCATGGATACGTTAGTGGTTTGAACCAACCAGTTACTACAAGGGAAAAAAATGAGATATTTGCTCTGCCCCCCACCCCCAGTATCCATAAAAGCACTTTATTACAGATCTGCGGAGGTCAGTGGTTCTCAGCCTCAAAGACCGCCTCTCGAGATACTTGCTCTAGTAAAGATCTGTCATTTGCTTTTGAATCAGTGCAGACTCATTGGCAGCCCTCGATCAGGTTTCCAAGGCTGTAAATCTTTGTCGGATGAGGCTACCTGTTTCTCTCCTGCAGAGCAGCAGGTGGATTCGAACCACCAACCTTTTGGACAGCAGCCCAGCCTGTACTTGTGTCATCAGGGCTCAGGTCCTCTAGGGGTTGAAATTAACTTAGGGCAGGAGGTAGGCTCTTAGGAAAGGTTGTTCTGCTGTGACAGGTAACCCCACAATCTTAGTGGTTTAATGAAATTTTCTGCTATCTTGTAGTCTCTTGTGGGTGGGCTTGGTGGGCAGCATGGTGCCATGCGGACCAGGAGACCCAGGTGGCTTTTCCAGGAGTCCACCTTCCCTTCTAGCAGGTGGGGGAGAGGACAAAGCCTGGACCTTGGAAGGTTGTCATGGGCCAGGCCTATAGGACACAAGCCCACTTTTTTGCTCACATCTCATTGGCCAGGACTCAGTCACATGGCCGTCGTATTTGCAAGGGAGGCTGGGAAATGTAGTCTAGGTGTGTGTCCAGGAAGGTGAGGGTGGATTTGGGTGACCCTCACAGCAGGGGCCATGCAGCATGTCTTCCTTTGTCCCTATAACTGCTCATTTAATAGTGACTTTTCCTCGTCCGGGAAGGTCTCTAGGGTGCCCCTTTCTCCTTTCCATCTTATTGGATGGTGAACACGTTTGCTTACCTGAAGGCAACAGCGTATGTTCCATTCTCAGAAATGGGACCATTTCTCTCTACGCAGTTAATCTTCACTCTGCATTACTCTTAGGGAGATAAAACGAGTTGGTAATTTCACACTTGCTTGCTTCTCTGCCTTCTTGTTCCATCAGGTCAGCCGCAGTTTATAGCAGCTCTGTGGACCACAGATGGTCACCTTGCCCCATCCACTGTCATCCTTACCATCTCTGATAAACCCACTGTTACAGTCACTCTGTCGGTCCTGTGGACGGTCTTCCTCTCTCTCTCTGACCCTCCACCTTTCTCAACATCATGTCTTTTTTCAAGGACTGGCCTCTCCTGACAAAATACCTAAATTATGTTAAGTATGAAGTTTTCTTAATAATCACTTTGTTCTCACTTCTTCCAAAACAGACTTGTTACTTCTTTTAGCGGTCCGTAGGATATTCAGTACTCTTCTTCAACACCACGCAATTCAAAGGCATGGATCCTTCTTTTGTCATCCCTATTCACTGTGCAGCTTTCAGATAGATTCATAGGACGCAGTTTAAAAAACAAATACAACACAGCTTGAATCAGGCACACTTAGTCTTTAAAGTGACATTCTGCTTTTTAGCATTTTGGAAAGATTCTTGATGGCAAATCTTCCCAATGACTTCTGGTACTGCGGGTAGTGGTCGTGGATTCAAATGAAAGGAAATCATTGACAACGTGAGTCTTTCCTCCATTTGTCCCGATGCTGTCTTTGGCTCCGTTCTGAGGGCTTTTGTTTTCTTGCTTTTGAGCTGTGATCCATATTGAAGGCTTTGATCTTCAGGTGTTTCAAGCCCTCTCCACTTTCTGGAAGAAGGTTGTGTCATCTGCATTACACAGGTTCTTGATGAGTCTTCCCTCTGTCCTGATGCCTCATTCTTCTTCGTATAGTCTAGCTTCTCGATTGATTTGTTCAGCTTGTAGATTTAATCGATACAGAGAAATGATGCAGGCTGAGGCACACCTTTCTTGATTTTACATCATACCGTGCTCCCTTGTTCTTTTGGAGAAGAGCCTCTTGATCTGTGTACAGGTTTCACATGAGCACAGTTAGGTGTTTGGGAATGCTCCTTCTTCTCAATGTTTTTTCTGTGATTTGTTATGATTCAGATAGTCACATGCCTGTGCATAGCCAGCAAAGTACAATCTCTTTTTCTCTGCCTTACCTCTCTCCATTCCTTCATTGTTTTCATCTGAAGAGACTTGCAGAGCTTTTAATCTCTCAGATCTTGCCTTTATTAAAGCAGTTGGAGAGACTGCTTAAGAAATATCCTTTCCCTTTCCTTCAGATTCTGTAGTCTGATAAGGTCCCTGATGGACGTGTAGCTGTGACAAAGAGGGAACCCAGCCCTGCGGGTGGACGTTTAAGGGGGGATCCAGAAAGGGGTGCATCATGGAGATGCCTGGCAGGACAGGGGCTTCCCACCCTCTTTCATCTCTGTGTGTGTCTTTGATGGTGGCCTGAAACAGGAAGGTCCACTAAGAGCAGGTGATGTCACCATCAGCTCTCAGACCCATTGGCACCGTCTTCCCTGTGCTGCAGGCTGACAAACCCATGAAGCCAAATGACCCAACGGGAAACCCGTCTTGTTTCCAAGGCTGTAAACCTTTCCTGTCACGGAGCAGTCGGTGTGCTTGAACTGCCGGCCAACACTTGACTCTCCCTGCCACCGTGGCTTCTGCTTGGTTGGTGTCAGCTGCTCACAGCCCCACGAGGGGAAGAAGGAAGACGAGGCAGTGGCCTGTGAACATGACCTTCCTGCTGCATGCTCCTTCCCTTTGCATGAGTGTCCCTCCCCGCCGTATGAACTGAGAACCCACGCAGTTTGTGTGCTGGTTTACTGGGGTAATCACGTCATTGCGATGGTCAGGAACAGAGCTTCTGCTCATGAGCAGTGTGGTGGTATTTCCAAATAAGCTCTCGTGCACAGGTATGGGGTGGGATTTAGAACTTGACCATGTCTTTATAGGCGACACAGTTCTACCCAGAATGCCAAGCCAGTACATTTTTTTTTCTAGTCCAGTTCGCCGGCGTGGCCACTGTGACCATTGTGACCGGTCAAGGACAGCCAGTTCAGAGTGTGCACAGGCCTGGAGGCAGAGAGCTTGGCAGAGCCCATGCCAGAGTGGCTGCCATGTAGGCCGGGCAGATGGGGAAGGGGCAGCAGATGGACGTAGGCCGTGGGGAAGGCCTTGACTGCCTGGGAGGGAGCGGAGAATTTATCCCAAATGAGATGAAGACGGACATGACACAGCCGGACCCACCGCTGTGGAATCAACTCAGATCCATTGCGACCTTGTAGGACAGAGCTGAGCTGCCCTGATTCAAAGCGACCTTGTAGGACAGAGTCACTGCTCCGATCATAGTGACCTTGAAGGACAGAGTCCCTGCCCCGTAGGATTTCCAGGGCTGCAGATCTACCCAGGAGGAGACCGCTCACCTTCCTTCCACGGAACAGCTGTCATGTTCACATTGCTGGTCTCGTGGCTCGCAGGGAACTCTGGGGGCCTAACCCACAGGGCGTTGCCTGGCTAACTTGAAGCCTGAGCCTCTCCGGTCTTCAGAAACTACCAGCGGCTACTGTGGAGACCCCCTGTCTCCTGCAGTGTGATTTACAGCCTTGAAAAATCTGCTGGAATGCCAGCTATGAATTGGTTCCCACTTGGGTTACCAGTCTGGTCCTCACTCTTCATGTCACCAGGGAAGGCAGTCTCTCCTGATGATGGGTGTGTGGGTCTCTGTTCTTATGTTTCTTCTGGGTCTCTATCCTGCTCTCTCTCTCTGCCTTATCCAGCAGTCAGATCATGAGCAGATCCTCTGGGTAGTGGGACTAGAGGGACCCAGGTCACCAGAGCCCAGGAAAGTCAGAAGGTGTACGTCTGTCCCCCTGTAGAGCCCTGGGCCACCAGGAGAGACCCCCTCCACCCTGGTTTGCACCTTTATTCAGAAGAGAAACGAAAATGTGATGTTTCCTGTAACTGGCTTAGTTGTGAAAGCACTTGGCTTCTAACTGAAAGGTTGACAGGTCAAACCTACCAGCTGCTCCACTGGAGAAAATTGAGGTAGTTTCCATCTAAATAGGTTTATCACCTTGGAAGAACCCTGTGGGGCAGCTCTGCTCTGTCCTCCATCTAAACAGGTTTATCACCTTGGAAGAACCCTGTGGGGCAGCTCTGCTCTGTCCTGCAGAGTCACTATGAGTGGAAATGGACAGAAGGGCAAGAGGGTTTAGAACCCTAAGTACAGACCTCGGGGTAGCATACCACACGCAGGGGTGTCACGCACCCCACGCAGGGGTGTGGCAATGGGTGGCTTTGAGCTCACTGACTTTACTCTTCGCCCGCAAAGGGAGAAGACTCCTTCCCATCAGCTTCAGCCTGGAAACCCCACAGGAAAGCTTTTGTGGTCTAAGTGGGTCACCTTGTGGTCTCTGGGCCAATTGTCGTGACTGAAATATTGGTACTGAAATAATATTTTGTCATCATCCTGTCCGTCCCCCACACCCTACATGGCTCTGTCACCAGAAATGGGATGAGTATTAGCAACGTCAGATTGCCCGGTAGTAAGCAAGGGCTTATTTGTGTTTACTTAGTAGTCTGTAGTGAGTCATTTCACATTTGCACCATGTCTAAGAGCCTGCTTCTATGTAAGGCGTCTCTCTCTCTCTCTGTCTCTCTCTCTCTCTCTCTGTCTCTCTCTCTCTTTGTCTCTCTCTGTCTGTCTCTCTCCCTGTCTCTCTCTCTTTCTCTGTCTGTCTGTCTCCCTTCCTCCCTCTCTCCCCCCCTCCAAATACCACAACATCTTCTCACGGAATGTAAGCCTCTTGAAATTTACAGTCCCTGGCAAGGCCGGGGGGATCAATGGTACAGGTAAGCATGGTCTCACACTTGCTTACCTAAGTCACCTGTAGTGCACTATTTCTCCTGGATTTCACTGTATGATATGATGGGAAGCATGTGACACTGTTTTCTACAGATCAGTAAGCAAGCACACAGAAGCCCATGCTTACCTGGTGTGTTAGTGAGACCAGGAGGCCGGATGGAGCACTGGTTAAGCTCTAACCAGCTAACTGAAAGGTTGGCCTATACCGTAGCCATTCAGCAGGAGAAAAGACCTAGAGATCATTTCCCGTAAAGATTACAGCCTGAGAAGCTGTGACAGGCACTAGTCCTCATGGGGTCACCATGGATCCACACTGTCTCTGTGACACACCAAGCATTGACAGTTGGGCAGAGCCACGGTGAATGCATGGCTTTTTTTTGATGATGTCATGGAAACCGCAGTCCCTCTCTCCAAAAGAGTACCCGTAGACACACACATTTGCAGGCAATTCCTGGGCCTCCCGAAAGCTTCTCAGACCCCAGGTTAAGAACCCTGTCTTCAATCTTTGGACAAATGCTGCTCTTTTGACCTTACATGACTCTTAAGGAATGATACGGCCGGGTGTTACTCAAATCGAAAAAGCTCAAGCTCATTGCTATTAAGTCAGAACTGACTCTTGGATTTCTGGGGCTGTAAATTTCACGGGAGGAGATTGCTCATCTTACTCCATCCGGGCAGCTGGTGAATTCAAACCAGCAGAGGGGCACGGCTTTTTGGTAAGCAGGAGGGCTCCCTCTGGATTATATCACTACTGGTCACCTTATAAGTCTGTTTCTGTTTTTGCTTGACTGCGAGTTGAGTCAAAAGGGTGAATGTTGTTTCAGGTTCTAAGGGCCACAGTCTTGGGGGCTCCACGAGGCTCTGTCAGACCACCGAGCCTGGCCCTGTGTATCTTTTTGTGTTTGGATCCACATCGTCCTCTGTTTTATCCAGTATTAGCAGTGGTAGCCGGGCAACATCTAATTCTTCTGGTCTCAAGCTTGTACAAGTTGAGATCTAAATGGTTCTTTGGTCCTTTGAACTAACTCTTTCTATGCATTTTTGGCTTTCCTTTCTGCCATTCCAGACAGGGAGAGATCAAGTATTGTGTTGTTGGGGGCTGCTGTCAAAAAGGAGGAAGTTGGTAGCATAGGAGGTATTCATGGAAAGGAAAATTACAGGAAGGATGTGTGATTGCATGGTAGGTCTTGTGATAAATGTTATAAAATAAAACATGTGTGAGTGACTGAACGGTAAACCAATGGGCTTTGGAAACTCTTCACTCAAATCACAGTAAAAAGAAGTAATGTTTCCAGAGAAAGGAATCCTGCCTTCGAGCCAGCGTGGTGGCACGTGGCACACCCTGGACTCGCGGGCCGCCAGGCGTCCACTACAGGCTCTCAGCCTTCTCCCCCCTCTCCCCAGGCCAACGAGATGCTCTTCTGCGGGAGGAAGCTCACTGCTCAGGAAGCCTGCAGCCGGGGGCTGGTGTCCCAGGTCTTCTGGCCAACCACCTTCAGCCAGGAGGTCATGCTACGGGTCAAGGAGATGGCCTCCTGCAGCGCCGTGGTGAGTCTGCGTGCCCCACACAACGTCCCTGCCCCACAGCCCTGCCCCCATGGGGAAGCCTTGGTTTCTTGTATTTGCTTATTTCCAGCAGCAAGATAACCGTTTTTGTCTGTTTGTGTCTAACTGTTTAATGCAACATCACGCGTTCGCAAGGTCCTCTGCAATGTGGTGTGTGTCAGGACTTCATGTGGATAGTGTGTGAAGTCCACGGTGGTGCACATAGTCATATGGTATCTCATTATGTGTCACGGTCCACCGTTCTGTCTGCTCCTCTGTCCATAGACATTTTGGGTGACTGTTGTCAAAAGTGCCGTGTGAACCTTAGTGTCTGTGGCTGGCTGATGTCCACATTGCAGTGAGCGCCCAGCACGGTCCAGTGCTTTGATGAGCTCCTTACCCAGGTCCTTCTTTGACCTCTCTGATGAGCCAGAGTGGCCCTGACACACTCACTCCACAGTCTGGCAGATGCAGGCACTGACATTGCGAAGGTCACGCGGGGACACTGTTGTGTGTGTTTGCACCACAATTGGAAAACGAGAGGGAAGAGTCATGCAGGTAATGATTAAAAACAAACAGCAATGAATAACACCCCAGAACCACTGGGCAGATCGGACTGTGAACCGTGGCGACCTTCTAGGACAGAGAAGAGCTGGCCCAGAGGGTTTCCCAAGGCTGTTCCTCTTTACAAGAGCCGTCTCTTCATCTTTCTCCTGTGGAAGGGCGCGCTGGTGGGTTCAAACCTCCGACCTTCGGGTTCACAGCTGCATTCTTTAACCACAGTAGCACTGTGTCACTTTATCAATTCTCTGTCTCAGTGTTGAGCGCTCACCCCTGGAGGGAGAGGGTAGCACTGTTAGACGTGTGTTGTTGTCTTTAGAAACAACCTCACAGGAGATAATTCACACTCTATGGGAGAGTGTCCGAAGCGGGCACAAACCCATAAAACGTCTGTTGTATTCTCAGCAACAAGGTGCCTGGGCTGATAAGAACACCAGCTGTTGGGCCAACTGAGAGAAAGCTCAGAGACAGCAGTCCTTGCTGTACTGTGTGTCACTGCCTGTGACTGTCTGCTGGCCGCTGCCGGGCACCTCCCGAGTGTCACCAGCTGAAGGCATATCGGAAAATTAGCCCCAAACCAAGCCCATGGCCGCCTCGGTGCTCTGAGCCACCGCCAGCCCGGGAGATGGAGGACAACTGTTCCGTTTGGCTTCCGAGGCTGTAAATCCTGACCAGAGGAGATCGCCACGCTTTCCTCCCCCAGAGTGGCTGGTGGATTAGAACTGCAGACCTTTTGATGATCAGTCAACCAAGTGCTTTAACCACTGCACCACTGAAAACACACTGGAAAGTGGTTGTTACTGCTGTGTGCCCGTCGAATCAGAACTGACCCATAGCTGACCTTCCAGCAGATCTTCAGAGATTGTAGATTACGTAAGAGTTTGTCCGTCTTTGTCCCTCAGAGCAGCTGGGGGTTTTGTGTGTGTGTCCACACACACACACACACACACACACACACACACACACACACACACACACACAGTAAGTTTAAGTGATGCCTCTGCCGAGGTCCTGGCTTTATTTGTCATCCTGACCTCATGAAAGCCACTCTAGCCTGTCCGAAGCTGGAGAAAAGGTGGTCATGGGCGTGTTTAGAGAATGACAGGTCAGTGTTGGGCTGGACAATGTTGGGCAAGCCCCTGGACACTCCTTCTTGCTCCCTGTCCACCCTGCACCTCACTCCTGACCCCCACCATTCTCCTGACTGCAGATGCGTTAGTCATGTATTAGGTACACCATCTAAGCACTCTGCTGCCAGTTGAAAGGTTGGCGGTTCGAACCACCCAGCGTCTCTCAGGAGAGAGACCTAGCAGCCTCCTCCTGGGAAGATGCCAACGTGGGAAACCCAGCGGGCTGGATTTCTGCTGTCGCAGTTGTGAATGAGAGTCGCCTGGACGGCACACCACAGCCGCAGGCAGCGCGTCGTGTCGCTTCCACTCCCAGGAAGCAGAGGTCGAATGATCCGATGAGAGGGGGATAATCATCGCCGTTCATTTTAGCAGAGTATCCTGTTGTAGGGAAAATACACACAGCGTAACATCTACCAGCACAGCCTCCACGTTCACCACTCGGACTGTTGATTGGCTTTTTCATGGCATGTCACCACGACCTCTGTCCTTATCCAGAATGTTCTGCCATCGTTAGCATGGTCTCGTTGGCTCCTAAACACAAGTCCCTTCTTCTCCTTGCTCTTTCTCTCACGGCCGCGAACGATCTCAGCTTTCTGTGTATCTGCTTATTTCACCTTCGTGACCCCACGCCGTATCTGCCCTTCTGTGATCGACGTATTTCACTCTGTGCTATCTCTGAAGTTCATCCGCATTGCTACCTGCATGAGAAACTTCCCTTGTCTGTGACTGAGTAGACTCCCATTCTGTTTGCATGCATTTTCGTTCCCCATCCATCTGTCTTTGGGCATGCTTGCTGGGTGGCTGTTTGTGGTGACCGTTTCAGTCTCGGTGGACATTCTGCTTGTGAAAAGTGTGGTCATGAGGCTCCTTTCCAGGATTCCCCTGCTGGTGCCCCGCTCGCCACAGCCTGATGACCCCAGGGCTTTGATCATCTCCGGAGGTAGCGTTGCCTTTACCTTCCCTCATAACTGTGTGGACCCACTCTTCCCAGTAGCCTGGAACTGTCCTGGTTTGACCACAGCCGCAGGTTAGTGAAGGAGAGGACGACCTTCAGTGAGAACGATTGGGGCTCTGACTGCAGCCCCACGATGGTGAGGGGTGCAGCACAGGGCAGGGCTGAGATCTGCTGTTCAGAGGGCCGCTCTGAGTCAGAGGTGACTTGGGGTGTTGCAGTTGAGGTAGATCCTATGGGTGCCCTGCCACCCTCTAGCTCATTTGCTTTTCTTGTTGTTTCTAGCCTTCCTAGAGTTAGTTGTCATCATTCCTGTTTGATAGATAATGGAACTAGAGCATGGAGCGGTTAAAAGAGTACCCCTCCCACTTTCTCATGGCTCCCCTTGAAAACGATGCTGTGTCAGTGTCACTGTTGGGTAGAAGGCAGGGCACCGAAGCTGCCCTAGGCGTCTGGCACCTTGGCAGGCGTCGCAGGGAGCCCTCATCTGGAATGCCAGGCTGACAGGGACCACTTTTTCTGGCTCCCAGCATCAGAAGGATGACCAGCACCTGGTAGACCCCACGCACAGTCCTAGAGGAAACCCAGCTCCGCTCTAACAGGGCTTGTCCGTGTCCCCGTAGGTGTTGGAAGAGTCCAAATGCCTCGTCCGCAGTTTCCTGAAATCGGTGCTTGAGGACGTGAATGAGAAGGAATGCCTCATGCTCAAGCAGCTCTGGAGTTCCTCCAAAGGCCTGGACTCCCTGTTCAGCTACCTGCAGGACAAGATTTACGAGGTCTGACGGGGGCCCAGCCCACCTGCCCCGACGCGCTAGGGCGCCTGGCCTCTGGCTGTGCCCAGCGTCTCCGGAAGCAGCGTGTGCCGTGTGCCCCGGCCGAGCGGCTTGTCGCCCGTGTGTCTCTTTGTACCTAGGGTTGTGTCCATTTCCTCGTGTCCTTGGTTGATCCTCATTGGTTTGGTTTCGTGTGACAGATGGGAAATACAGAACACTTGGCCTCCCCTAATGTCCTCGTCCCACTGGCCAGAGAGCTCTCGAGGGCTATCACTTCCCAAGCTCTGCCGGGCATCCGTCTTTCCCGATGTGTTCAAATGCACCATCTTGGTCTGTGACAGGCAGAGCAGTAACTGCCATCCTTCTGACCCCGGCCACGTCCACACAGCACCTCTGTGGGAAGACGTGGTCACTGTGGCACTCTCTGGCGAGATGCGGATTGGGTGACAGGGGACAACTCATCTGAGGGACATTTCCAGACTGATGAGCAAAATGATTGTGTAGACCCTGCCCTCCGTCTCTTCTCTGCTGGGAATCCATCTATGACCTTTCAAACCCAACTCAAGCGATTTGCGAACCCAGATATTGTACATTTAGAAATGTTTCTTTTTGTTAAATATATATTTTTTAAAATGATGTAAGTGAAAATTCTGATAATTTATGTGTATTATATGTAAAGCTAGTTTTGCAAAAAAGAAAACCAGAAAAAAAAACAAACCTCAAGCTACTAGGGAAAAAAGGTTCTTCTTGGGTCAGAGCTATTTAATTTATTTATTTGTGTTTATGTATTTCTGGGTCTGTTGTTTACACAGGTGTTATTTTCATAACTGCCCTGGACCAAATGCCACGCACAGTTCTTGCCATTCTGGTGCGTTCTAGCAGTGAACCCTGTAGAAATACAATTCCGAGAGATGGCCGGGGAAGGATTGCAGTGGCCGAGAAGCAACTAGGTTCTCTTCAGATGAAATGGTTCTCAGCTATAATCCCAGAATACTAGCTCTTTCTCTTCATCCATTGGAGAAATCAGGGAAAGGAGATTCTCCACACTTTGCTGCCTTTTAGGAGATTAAGGGTTCTTCCAGCTGAAATGTATATAGACCCACCGTTCCTACTTACTTGATGTCTGGAGGTGGAGACCACGTGTTGTGTAGAGTCAGAGCGATTTGTTTCGGGGAAATGTTTGAGCTTGGAGTTGAGAGTTCTACTTCTTCTGTCTGGCTGGTGATACCTTCTTGGGGAGGAGGTTGAGTTCTGCTCTGCTGAGCTGTCCACCAAAGGTCAGACTCTTTTTCTCCTGACAGACACCAAGACCTTCTATCTCTGTTCTCGAAGTTGTGGACACAAAGGAGCAGTAGCTAAGGACAAGGTCCCCTGACCACTGCTGCCTTGGTTACCACAGGATTCTGGGACTTCTTTTAGACCCTCAGACCATAATTCCGGAGGCATCTACTGTCAGGAGGTACGGCGTTTGAATTTGGTTGGTGAGGAGAGAACTACACATCAAGGTCGTGTCAGAGAATCGGAGCGTAGCCTACGTGAAGCTCACACCCTTTTAGTCAGGCATCCAGGCGACTTCAGAGCTCCAGGCGGTGGACTTTCTCCATTTCTATCACGATCTCTGTCTCTTCTCAGGGACTGTCTCTTCTGCCCTGGCTCTCTTTTCCTCTGCTAATCACCCCCACTGTTGACCCCTGAGATGGTTAAATGGAGACACCAAAATTGGACACAGCTTAGGAAGGTGAGACAGTGTGGAAAGAGGAGGTCATGGTCACCATGACTGTTCCTTTGTCTTCTCTCCTAAGGTCACCACACACCCAGGGCAGATGGAGTAATTCCTGACCTGGACCATTTATTTCAAAGAAGAAGTTGAGTGTCTACACTACAGCAAGGGACATGATCCCTTTATCTGGATTGGATTTTTTAAAAAAATTAAATCTGAATTCTTGATTCCCAAATTGCCATTGGTCTTCTGTGTAGGAAACTTTGCATTTTATCTGATTTCTTGATCCTCAAATTGCTCTTGGCCTTCTTGGTAGGGAACCTTGCTTTTTGAGTTTGTGAGAATCAGGGAGGAAAGGAATCATTTCCCTTCTCATCCAGAGAAGGGAACCACCACATTGGGTGGATCCAGGCGGAGAAGGAAGGGATTGAAGTCCTGGGCACCATTCCCTTCAGGAAACATTTGCTTTCGCCTACGTGCTGATGTTACATCCCCTCTTTAAGAAAGCCAAGGTACAGACAGGTAAGAAGCCCTCAGACAGGCCTTTCCCCTCCTGTGTCCTAGCCAGTCATCTTTGTCACGAAATCCTCTAATAAGAGTCCCTTGATTTCTGCGTTACTTCCAATCGGCTCCAGCTGCATTCAACTTGTAGGGAAGTGGCACCATGATTCTCATTATAAAAGGAATAAAAAGATGCTTGGGAATTCCATTTGTTACATGTCTGTCTGCTCCCCACCTGTAAGAGCCAAGAAAGTTTGGCTTTGATGCCCCATGAAACCCTACATCCTAAGCATTGCACAGTTTTTTTGTGATGGAGAAAGCAATTTCTAAGGTCAGGTTCTAGACATGGTGGAAAGTATTTTAAAAGACTTGCAAGTTTGACTATTTCCATGCATGCCACCTTTTCAGTAAGGATGTTTTGCCTGTTTGGCAAAAGTTGATGAAGACTGTTAGGTACAGGGCTGACTTCGATCATTGTGGCTCTGTTGCCCCTTTTCAGACAATTATCTGGATACTTCCTAGATGAGATTTGCTTATTAGAAACTGGTCCAAGACCAGGCCTGTTGTTGTGCTGGAAGTCAGTTAGCCTAGTAGGTTTCCTGGGACAGTGTTTAAGACCTCTGCTTTTTCACAACGATGATTTCCTAACCTTAGCATCCCCTGGCCTTCCATGGAATCTAGTCTTCTGCTGTTTTCTCTACCTTGCCCCGTCCCTGACGGTCTCAAATGCTGAGTGAAGAGTTGTAGCTGGTCTCACACTTCCCTTTTGGGCTTGGATGACCGGCAGTGTGCAGGAAGGAATGGACAGTTCTTTAGTCAAGAACCTTTCTCCAGGCAGACGGCTCCTTGCCTCTCTTATGAACTGGGCTTTAGAACTCTTCCTTTCTTCTCTCCCCAGGCCCGATGATGCTTTATGCCTTATGTCTTGTAGGGGAACCATTTGTGTTAGCTCCCCCCTCCCACGGGCATGTCCCTTCCATCTGACTCCCTTCCGTCATTTGAAGGCCACCGCCTACTGCCAAAACACCTATGGGTCCCTTCCCGCTTTGAGTGAAACCCATCAAAATGACCTATTAATAATCAAATTAGACCATGTTGAGGATATAGCAGGGAATGGTTTTAGAACTCTTATTCTTGTTTGGGATGCATTAAGCCAGGGAATGTTCTCTTTGAGGATCACTGAAAATATGTTTTCCCATATGGAGTTTAGTGTAATGACAGAAAAATAATAATCAAATTGGACTCTCAACAAGGCAACTGTCTGGGTAGGCACATTTAGAGACAGCCTTGAGTGAGTGTCAGATTGCATTGGCTGGGGGGGGGCAAAGATAAGCTTTTCTTTAATTTGATGTCTTCTTTTTTTTTTTACAATCTGGTTTTAGTGGGGATTCTTTTTAAACAGAAACATCTTCAGACCTTGTTAATTAGATATTTAAAATGCAGACTTGCTTCTCTGCCGTTTTCTGTAATCAAATACTTACTTGTATATATTAGTCTAGATACTCTTGCTAATATACACAGTATTTAAGACTCTAAATGAGATTTCTTAAGTATTTTATTTTATTCTCTGTAAATGATTTTGTATAATCTTTAAAAATCTACACTTTGCCTTTGTAGATATGTAAGGGAAAAATCATTTGGGGGTTGTCTTGCATGTATATTTTTGTTGTAGATAAGTGTCGCTTAGTTACTTCTGCAAATTTTGAGTTGAAATGCTTACAAACTTTAATACAGTATATATTTTCAGAATATAAACTTTTATATTTCTGTGGTAAATTAGGATATGCGTTTTAGGCAATCTTTTCCATTAATACCACTGTTCTTTCAGACAATAACATACTGGTTTGGTGCCAATATAGATATATTTTCCCCCCATTATAATCTAATGCTCTTCTACTGTTAAGAGAGCACATTAATTTTTTCCTTCAAATAATTGAGTTTTAAGTATCATTTTTAAAAAGAGAACTGATTTTTGTGAATAAGCCTTACCATTAGGATCAGTAAAATTTCCAACCTTTGCAACAACATGTATAATTTACCATCTCCCCGTAAATTCTCAGTATGTGGCAGTTGGTGAAGTTTGGAAAGAGCCTTAAGCTTGTTGCAAAAAAAAATATTAATAAGGGTAATACGGGTTGTTTCTTCTAAGCAGTGTGAGTTTTGTTGCTTGAACTCAGTGGAGTCGTAACTCATGGCTAATTGGAAGAATTTGGTTGTGTTGGTGGCAGCCGGGGTTAGAGTGCTATCTTGGTGATTACCTTTGGCCATAGGAATGGACCAAAGACAGGTTTTCCATTGTTCTGTTGGCATAGCCACCTGGAACTCTTCACACTGTTCAGACGTGTCCCAGGGAGGGTTGCTGGACCATCATTTGTTTGTTGTTTTTTGTTTTGTTTTGTTGTTGGTTCCTCCCCCCACCCCAAAAGGCATTTTCTGCTTCTGACCTCAGTAGTTGAACCAGGTTCTTTGTGGGTGACGTTTGGAAATGTCTGAGGTCAGCACTCTTTTGAAAGATGCTGGCCGAGTTTACCTACGAGTCTCACGGTGTAGACAACCCGCAGTTGATTTCAGCTCCACGGTCAACGGTCAGCAGCAACCCCTCGTGTACCATCAGGGTGTTACCAGTAGATGATGCATGTGAAGCCATACCAAGCGTGAGGTCAGCAGGGGAAAGGCAAAATAGAGCTTGCAGCATCCGGACCTGTCCCCCACGGCTGTTCTCAGTGGAGTCACGGAGCTCTGAGCAGCGGACCCACTGTGTCTGGCATCAAATAAAGCTAACAAGAGATTGAATTTAAAACACACACACACAC